CCCATGCTGTTCTGCAAGCTGCCCCCACCTGGCCCTTCCGGTGGTGCCACGTGCCCCGGTGTCCCGGGGCTGCCGTGACAAATGACCACACACTGGGGTGCTGAAGGCAGTGCTGTTCTCCCACAGCCCCGGAGGCCAGAGGCCGCTCCCTCTGAGGGGCCCGGGGGTCAGGTCTCCAGCTCCCGGTGGCTGCGGTCCCTGCTGCTCCTCGTGGCCACATCTCCCCGCGTCTCCCTGTGTCCCCACATCACCTCCGAGCGCTGGCGTCTGCGTCCTGGCCTCTGTGTACGCAGACTCTAGTCCTCTGGCGCCCGCCCCCCGGGCTGGTAATGACCTCACGTCAGCCCAGTACGTCGGCGGAGACCCCACTTCCAGACCAGTTTCATTCAGAGGCCCCGAGTGGACGCGGACTTTGGAGGATGCCCCTCACCCCTCCATCCCTGTACCTCTCGCGGGCTGAGCCATCACCTGCCGGTTTCCCGTGGTCCTGTCTACACCTTCGAAAAGAGTCCCTTTGTCATGCCGTCCTCTGGGCCGCGCGTAGCATCCATTCCCTGCCCAGGTTGGGACTGACCCAGCCCCAGGCTCCCTGGGGGTAAACGAAGAGACTGGGGCGGGGGTCCCTCGTGGAGAGGCTGTGGACGTGATCCTATCAGGCTCACTGGCCAGCCGCCTCCGTCAGCCCCTTCCTGTCCCTGCCCACCCGCCAGCAGGAACGGAGGTGACCCAAGGCCCACATGGCACAAAGAGCGACCCCAGCCCCGTCGTGAGAGGCCGCCCGGGAAGGCAGCACGGTCCCAGCCGTCGGCCGATTCCCGCAGCAGCGCTGCTCACAGACGCCGGCCTTCGCCCCACCGCCCCACGCGGGCACGCCGCCGCCTCAGCGAGCCCCGCTTTCTCGTCTACGCAACGGGATCGCGGCCGCGGCCCGTAGCTCCAGAAAGGACCCGCGTGAGGAAGGTGCCACGCAGATGTGAAACAAGGCACTACTACTGCACAGGGCCGTGCACTCTTGTGTGTGAGCAGAGCAAGCACACGTGTGTGCTCGGGAGTGTAGGGAATGTAGATCTGAGTTTTTGTATCTGAATTTAATTTCTACTTCCAGCCCCCAGGCTCCTAAGCAGGAAAAAAAAAAAGAACCGCTAAGCCAGGAGTTTGATTTCTAAACATATTACATGAGATGCTAACTAAGATCCAAGTGGAGACGTTGAATAAGCAGTTGGGTTCTGAGAGGAAGCTGGGAGGCGTTAGCACCGAGGCGGACGCACTAAATTATTCCCAGGTTGAGACCCTCACCCTCAAGGTGATGCTTTGACCACGTAGGACCTCTGGGAGGTGCCTGGGCCATGAGGGTGCAGCCTTCGGGGATGGACTTCGTGACCTCCTAGGAGAGACCTCAGAGCCCTCTGTCTCCCCTTCCTCCATGTGAAGACACAGCGACGAGATAGGACAGTCTCCCACCGACACTGCTGGCTTCGTCATCTGCGACCTCCAGCCCCCAGAAGTGTGAGAACCAGGTGTCTGTTCTTTACCCCCCACCCGTGGTACTATTCCCGGACAGCAGCCCGAACGGACCAAGACAGGAAATGAAGACGCCGTGGAAACAGAAGAAGGGAAGGAAACTGCGTTACTTGAAGGAGTGAGTCTCCGCGTGTGGTCTCCAGATTTGTGGTCCCCAGCGTCAGCACCCCCAGGACCTTGTTAGAAATGCAGGTGTGGGGGCCCCAGCGGGAGGTGAGACTCTGGGGGAGGGTCCAACAGTCTTTGCATCGACCTGCCCTCTTGATGCTCAACTTTGAGAACCTGCTTGGCTATTTTCTCAGTCAGAAGTCACGTTGGAAGTCAATGGTTGACCAGCAGGCTTTACTCTCCCTATGGAAAGTGGTCCCCGAGCGGATCCTCAGGGAAAGGTGACGTCACCAGGAAGGTGTCAAGGCCCAACGTCAACAGAAGATGTCTGCCCACCATGTGCTGCTAAGCCAGACCCATGCTGGCCTCTCCAGGTCCCAAGAGCAGACCTCAGTGGCTGGGTCAGTGGCCATCATGCGTTCAAAGTAGATACTCTCAAGGTCAGAGTGGGCAGAGGCCAGCGGGCAGCCTTCTCAGCAGGAGGCCCATCCACCGTGAAAGATGAAAAAGAGTCCCAAACAAAGCCAAGGGACTGAAAGGATTCCTTTGGGTTTTCGGTTCCTCTTTTTTTTTTTCTTTCTTTTTTTGCAGATAAGCCAGCTCATATTGTGATATTGTGGTTCCCACTTCTAGCCACTTAGGAGATGATTAATGCATCCAGAGACTTCCCCAGACATTTATGACACCTTCAGGAATAGCAGTGACAATGGCTCTATCATGCACCGCAACTCCATACCCTTGGCGTTCCTCTTAATTATTTATATATTCTGGATCAGCCAGGTTCCCTCCCACCAGAGCTCAGGAAGGTAATAAATGAGGAAAGTCAATGGTCTGTAAATTACAACATTGATTAAAGAAGTGATTACTGATATAACTCTTGCTCGGCTATTATGCTAATGCTTGCCCAGATCCAGGACAGTGTTTCCATGCTAATGGCAAGTCAGGGACAGCAACTAAAATTGGCTTCCACCCTTAATCAGTAGGTAAACATTTTTAAACCACTCTTGACCGTGAGTGAGAAGGACCCATCCGTGTGCCCCCCTCCCAGCTGCTCCTGCCTCTGTCCCCGGCAGATGGAGGAAATTCGCTCAGCCCAGCCCTCACCAGCTGCCCTTCCAAACAGAAGTGAGAGTTGGAGATGAAAATTGGGCCCGGGGTAGCCATCCATAGTTCCCGGAGGCTGGGGAAAGAGAGGGTGATCGCGCAAGTTCATTGCTCAGCGTCGATGTGATTTAACTGAGTCCACAGACCCCACGAAGGAGATGCTGCTTCTTCTAGAGTGTGCACAGTCTCGACAGGAGACAGAGAAGCAAATTGGCAATTACAGCTTGGTATGTTAAGTGCTATGTGAGGAGTCCATGTGTGACTTCATTAACTCTGGAATGTCACACAAAACCATAGGTATATGCATTTCCATAGCAAGAATGAGCTTGACTTGTGTTCTCGAAGGAGTCGGTGACCCCAAAAAAGTGAGGAAACACTGCTTGAGACCTTTCTGGAAGCTTTCAAGTAAACTTCTGTGTTTCCACTGATCTTGGCTCCATCATGTCTCAGTCTCTGATCACGACTCCCCTCACCCTAAGATCATCCTTCTTTGGTTGTCTTGAAGCAGGTATTCCCATGAAGATAGGGTTCAGTTCATTCATCCATCCAGCTCTCCATCAACCCATCCATCTATTCATCCACCTGCATCTATGTACACACACACAATCCATTCATCCACTCATCCATCCATCCATCCATCCATCCAACCATCCAATAATCCATCCACTCATTCACCCACCAATCCATCCACTCACCTATCCATCAATCCACCCACTTATCCATCCATCCATCTATCCATGCACCTATCCATCCACTGACCCACCCATCTATTCATCCATCCTCTCATCTATGCATCCACCCCCACATCCATCCATCCATCCATCCATACGTACGTACATACATACATACATACATACAGGCATTCGTCCATTCAGTGTCCACTCTGCCAAGCTGCTGCTTCTTGAGCATCCGGTGTGAAGAACCAAGGCATCAAAGATTTTAAAAAGATGTACTTCCTTCCTTCAAGTATCTCATAGTTTGGTGGTTGATCTGGACACACCAGGCCAGTATAAATCATATCCTATAAACTTGAATATGCAAGACATGTCATTTCTTGAAAACCCAACTGGATTTCTCTTCTCAATTTTCAATTCATTAAGGCTGCAGAACATAATCCCAGTCTAATTTCCAAGAGATGTAACTATTATTGCCCAGGCCTTGGGAGCAGGGGCTTGTAGTCTTCACATGTTCTGCTTACGTTCCCTAGGGGCATACGGCCCCTCCCCTGTCCACGGAGCTCATCCAGCCAAGATGTCCATGGGGCTGTGTGTAGATTCATCTCCCTAAGGGTTTAGACTCTGGAACACGCAGTCTTAATGCTTGCAGACTTTTATTTTATTTTCTATATGTTTGTTTTGCTTTGTGCTCTATCTTATCTCTTTCCTGAGGCAATGACACGGTACGGCCTCGAAAAACAAGGGAAGGAATACACAGGTAGGGAACATGCTTTGGAATGGCCGCGCTGCCCTTCGCAGGATAAGCAGTTACGATACAAATACATAAACCATCTTGGGGGTCGGGGAGGTGCCTGGCCAGGCCAGCAGGGAAGGAAGGGTGTTCCTAGGCAAAGGGAGTCCCGCGTGCAAAGGCCCGGTGTCTCCGAGACTGTTGGGGCTGTGCGTGATGGAGGGCGAGTGAGTCGGGTTGGAGAGGAAGGCAGTACAAACCGTGCAGGGCCTCGGGGGCTGGTTGGGGTGACACGTGGGTGTGGCCCATTTTTGAGCAGACATCACCTCTGGGCCCCACTCAGAGTTCGGCCTCAACTGTGCATCCGTGCAGGTTTCAGCTCACGTAGGGCCGGTACCGCCTTCCACCTGGAGCTACCGCCGTCTTCTATCCCGGGGCCTTCTCGGCTGCCATGCGCCTGTGTCTCAGCCTGGAAGTGCAGGGCAGTTAACACGCAGGGGCAGTGAGAGAGGAGCTGGGAGATAGTATTCCTGCCCCTTATCCTTCAGGCGGACAAGTTTGTAGGCTTTCATGAGGTTCCAGAGAAACTGATTCACAGCAAAAAAAGAAAAGAAAGAAAGAAAAACACACCTCCTCCCACACTCTGCTCCCAGAGCCACCTCCCGGGTAAACCAAATGCACTGAATTCTTGTCTCAGGCTCTACGTTGGGAGAAACCTAAATTAAGCATGCGTGCTTTGCGGAAGGAAGGAAGGAAGGAAGGAAGGAAGGAAGGAAGGAAGGAAGGAAGAGAAAAAAGGACAATGAAGAAGGGTGGTCTCCAGACCCAGTGACCTTTCTATCCCCTTTCTGTCTTTGAAGGTGTCTGACGGCTGTGATTACGTGTTTGTCAACGGCAAGGAGATAAAGGGCCAGGTGGATGCGGTGGTGAACTTCACCTACCAGCACCTGAGTGCCCCCCTGCACATCACCGTGTGGGTGCCCCGACTGCCTCTGCAGATCGAGGTCTCGGACACAGAGCTGAGCCAGATTAAAGGCTGGAGGGTCCCCATTGTGGCCAGTAAGAGGTGAGCCCAGGATGCGAGGATGTACCAGAGGGGCGGTGACAGTGGTTTTAGTTACCGACCACACCACCACCGACGGAGCCAGCATGGCCCCGCACGCGGCAGACGCCGGTACAATGCTTGATTACATTTTCTCCAGGCTAGCCGAGGCCCAAGATAACCAGCCAGGAAGGAGCCTGGGAAGCGGCGGGGTCCTCATGGCCCCCAGGCCGCGTGCTGTCTGCACTTGGGCTTCTCGTAGACTCTATTCCCCCCGCAAAGTGAAGTGACAGAAGAGACAGATTTTTCTAGCCCCTCGGCGCCCTGGGGAATCTGAATTTTGGGTTATTTTCTCTAAGCCAAACAGTGATTCCTTCTTCTGTGCTTTGTGAACATCCATAAGCTTGATAAGCACCGTGTGCACCAAATTACTACATAAAATTTAACTGCACTTATATTGGACTGTGGTATTACTGTTTGCTCTTTAAAAAACGGCTCTTTATTCTGTGTGACTCTGGGGAGGGCAGACCTGAGTCTTTCTGCCACTTTCTAGCTCTGTGAGCTTGGGCAGGGTCCCTAACCTCCCTCCCCAGAACATAAGAATAATAACATAAGTGTTATGAGATTAAGAGTCCATACGTGGGCAGCTTGAAGGTCACATCTCAAGAGAGTAATACAGCTCTGCCCAATAGGACCTGCTGCAGTAGTGGAATGTTCTAGAACCACATTCTCCAATATGGCGGCCACTAGCACACATGGTTATGGAGCACTTGGTTTATACCTTGCGTGCCCACGAAGTTTAAATTTTTGATTTACCTCATTCTTATTCATTTAAATTAAATTATAAATGGGCACATGCTACCTATTTATTGGACAGTGGAGGCTTCCTAAGTATTAGCTCTTAAGCCGTTTGTCAGTAAATGTCTCCAGGAAAGACGTCTAACCCTCGGTGCTGCCTGTTAACAGCACTCCCGTGGGGCCCTGAGGCCCCCGCCTGGAGGTTGCCCCGTGGAGGCTGGGCGGGCTCCTGTCCGTCTGGCCTGGGACTCGAGTGTCCCGGCCCTTTCCCGGGACCTGAGAGCTCCTCGTCCCCCCAAGGCCCACACGGGAGAGCGAGGATGGAGACGATGAAGAGCGCCGGGGCCGAGGCTGTGCCCTGCAGTACCAGCACGCCGCCGTGCGGGTGCTCACGCAGTTTGTGGCCGAGGGCGCCGGCGCGTGGGGCCAGCCCAGCCGCCTGCTGGGCCCCGACTGGCAGGCGGACGTCACCCACCTGGTCGCAGACTTCATGAAGCTGGAGGAGCCTCGCGTGGCCACGCTCCAGGACAACCGGGTGCTGGTCGGGCGGGAGGTCGGCATGACCACCATCCAGGTAGGGGCCGGAGCTCGCCGCTGCTGCCCTGAGCGCCGTGCCAGGCACGGGGGGCGGCTCCCAGGAAGGGCGGTCGTGGTGCCCAATTCCTGGCGCCCAGGGCGGCATCCCCGGGGCACCAGAAGGTGAGCGAGGACCAGCCCCGGGGCTCCCAGCGTCCTCATGAGCAGAACTGGGAAGACGATGGCCACACCCCCTCCGCGCCTCACACGTCCCCCCTCTCAGCGCTATGCCCTCCATTCCCCACACCCGCCAGCCCCCGTCCTGCCCCTCACCCCCCGCCCTTCATCCCGCTGTCCACACCTACATCTCCTATGCCTCTCAGAAGCCCCCTCCCCTCCCTTGCATGCTGCTCACGCCCATGGCCAGGGGAGGGTGCCTCCCTCCTTCCCATGAGGCATTTAGTCATTCCGCCATGGATCCATCCAAAAAACTCTCTTCAAAGTCCTACTATGCTTTTTGTTCAAGGAAACGCATATGACAGGGAGTGATGACCCTTTTCCGAAGTGACTGCACCCTCTGGGGGGAGAGTAGGCTATGATTCAGTCCCCCCACAATTAATCCCGTAGTTCAAGTTCAGGTCCCACAGTTAATCCTGTAGGTCAAGTTCATTTAGCACGTGATTCAGGTTGCACAAAGTCAAGTCTTGTGTGACTCTTCGTGAGCCTGGTCAGCAGGATTGCCATGCACGGTTAACCAAGCTGTGCATCATACTAGAGCGCCTCATCCCAGTGAGAGGGGTCATTTCCCTTTAAAAACAGAATGGATTTTAATATCGATTGTCATTTCCCCACAGAGCTAAAGTGTCTTGGGGAGGGCGGCTTTATCTGACCCTTGCAAAGGCATGGCCTGGGCTGGTGTATCTCTAGTGAGGGTGTGTGGCTCCTCCCCACCGCCCCCCACGCTGCCCCAGGCCTGGGGGAAGGAGGAAGTTGCCGGGGAAGCTTCCAGAATCTGGGAATCAGTCTTCCATCCTGTCCATCCCACAGGTACTGTCCCCGCTGTCAGACTCCATCCTGGCAGAGAAAACGGTCACCGTGTTGGATGACAAGGTGTCAGTGACGGACTTGGCCATCCAGCTGGTGGCCGGGCTGTCTCTCACCCTCCACCCCAGTGCAGAGGACAGCAAGACCATCACAGCGGTGGCCACCGCTCAGGAGCTGCTTCGGACTCCCAAGCAGGTGGGGATGGTTCTAGAAGGCAGAGGCCTAGAGGCGCAGGGCAGTTGCTGTATCTGACTCAGCAAGAGGGGCAGGAGGAGGGAGGCACGGGGCAGGGTAGCCGACCCAGTGATGGGGGCTGTGAAAAGCCACAAGGCTGCGGCATGCCAGTTACAGGCTCTGCCATGAACCAGACAGGTGACGCCCAGTGCACAGGTGGGCGCTAGTGACTTCCTGTTGCCACAGGCTCGGTGGCTTACAGCAACACCCACTTATTAGCTCAGCTCGGTGGGCCGGGGGCCCGGGGTGGGGAGGGGCTCAGCTTGGTGGGTCGGGGCCCTGGGCGGGCTCAGCTCGGTGGGCCGGGGGCCAGGGGGAGCTCAGGGCCCACAGGCTGAGAGCAGAGAGAGCTGGCGGACTCTTCCTGGCGTGTTCGGGGAATAATCGGTCAGCCTCCATGCTTGTTCGTGTCGCTGCACTTCTGTGACAGGTGTCTGTGTCTTTGCCAGCTGTTCTGTGGCGGGGGGGGGGGGCTTTCTCGGCTCCCTAAGGCCACCCATGTTCCTTCTCATTTCCCAAAACCCATTATCTTCGAAACCAGCAACGTGCATGGAGTCCTTTTATGCCTTAAATCTCTAACCTCCCCTCAGCTGTCAGCTAGAGAAACCTCACTGCCTTGAAAGGATCACGTGTCTACACGGGGCTCACCCACATAATCCACGCAGATCTCCCTATCTTAAGGTCGGCTGCACCACAGAACACAGCATAATCACGGGAGTGGCATCTCATTGTATCCCCAGGCTCCAAAGATCAGGGCGGATCATTCCGGAAAGTGTGTGAAGCTAGCTGACTTGGCTCCAGTGTGTCGGCAGCAGGGTCCTGGGGAACATTCACATCCATGTCAGGCCCCCATCGCTGGCTTCCGACTCCCCTCTCCTGGGGGTGTGCTGTTCTCTACTCTCTACGGAGCCCAGCAAGGGGAGTGGAGGAAAGTGGGGAGACAAGGCAGAGAGCACGGAGCTATTTGCTGAGATTGGGTAATTCATTAGGGGATGATTGGCATCACAACCTTCCTGGCTGGGGGGCAGGGGCCCCGACCCCCATCCAGTGTCTCCCATCTGTCTTCATCGGCTGATGGTGATTGGAGGTCCCCGCGCTGACTCGGGGGGATTTATGGATGTAGATCATTCGACTTGCAGACACGACTCTGGAAAGGATGGAGCTCTAAATCATCCCTGGCCACGCGTTGTTTTAAGTCATTCCCAATTTCTCATCTTGGGGGAAATGTGTTGGCTCCTCCTGGGCAAGTGCTGCCTTCCAGCCTCACCGGAACGAGCTAATGGAGGGACCCAACGCTCAACCACACAGCAGCGCTGCTGCAGACGGACCTGGGCCAGCCCGCGGGGTTCTGAAAGCGTCATTTGGATCGTCTGCCATTCGGGGGGCTTGTTTTATGTGAAGTTCTTTCTCCATCTACAGTTTGTGAAGAAAAATTAGTTCAGGACGGAAAGTCAAGGAAGATGAACCTGCAGACCGTGTGAAGAGTGTCGTTATCCTAGGCCTTGGCGTGTGGAAGGTTGGCACCTTGCTCTTGATATTTCAGCTCTGAAATCCAAAGTCGGGAGGATTTTTACATCCATAAATACTAGGGCGATAGCAGATACCTTGCCTGCGCCTCGTCTGTTCTCAGAGTCAGGACAGAAGGATGAAATGAGAAATCGGCCAGCATCAATGCATTCGATTTAGCCATTAGAAGGGGACTTGCCAGTTGCTGTGGACAGAGGGGACGGGGGGGGGGAAGCAAAGTCACTGAGCCATGTCACCTCAGTTTTGATCCCCCAGAAGCTGAGCCTGCCACGAGGCTTCACGATCAAGGACGCAGGCTCCAGCAGCGCACGGCGGTGGCCTGCGTCTTCTGGAGAAATCACCAGCCGGTGTTGACCGGGGCCTGGGGAGCTGGGATGCGTGTCACATCTTCTGTCAGTCGTTGTTGAGGGCTGTTTGGGGGGGGTGTTCATTCCTTGGCACTTCTGGCTCCAGACACGACCACACAGGTCCCGGAGGCCAGGGAATGCCTTCAGACAAAACAATCTTGCAGAACTGACCGCTGGAAGCTGAGCGGGCAGACACCGAGAGGGGTGGCCGACAGTGAGCGCTGAGCTGTCCTGAGATTTCGGGCACGGCCTCACCCCCTCCTCTCATGCAGCGGGTGCTGGCTGGGCCTGCAGTTACTAGGGACAAAGACCAGACCCTGGCTGGGTCCAGGCAGACATGGGTATGTATCAGTTCATGCCCGGGGAGCTGTCTTCAGGTCAAGCTAGATCCAGTTGTCCTGAATGCTAGAGAATGTCCAGGCACTATTTCTGTGGATACCGCTGTCCCCCATTTGCCTTCTCCATAGTCGTTCCCTGTGGAACTTCTCACCGAAAGCTGTCGGTCGCTCTCATACTATCCTTCCTTTCTCCCATCATACCTTTCGAGTGTCCCATTTCTTTGTATTCCTGTGATTGTGTTTTGGGTAAATTCCTTAGCTCCGGCTCCCTGGACGCTGACTCTCTTCCCAAACGTGTCTAATCTGCTTTGCAAACTAGCCGTTGGGTAATTTCAACGGGAGCACTGTTTCTAGGAGTCCTCTCCACACCTCCCCCCCCCACCCCCCGCAGGGCTCGCACTCTGAGTGGGGAGGACTCGGTGCTCCAAAGGGAAGCTGGTGTTCAGCCCCAGCCAGAAGAGAGGGATAGGAAGGGTCTGGGCCAAGTAGATGTCCGTCTCAGACCCTGGGGTGGGGGGGTTCACACTCTCACTTTCTGTTGGGGAAACAGGATTGTTTACACAAAAATGGACCAGGAGAAATAGTGCAGCAGTGCATTTAACTCACAACTCACGTCAGATTCTCGGCCCTCGGTCGTCATGTCCAGAGGCCAGGACCAGAGGGGGTACAGGATCCTTGACTCACAACAGACCCCTGGGGTCGGTGTCGGACGTGGGCTTCTGACATGTGTCCCTAAACGTCTGGTCTTAGACAACAGGGGAGAGTTCCAGACACATCAAAAGTATCGTGCTGAGCGTCGGCGGTGGCGAGGACTGCCGGACCGACCGCCGGGCTCAAACCCCGTATTGTGCCACTTCCCTGACCCCCCCACCCATGCTATCCATGATCCCGCCCCTCACCTGCAGCATGCGAAGCTGTGATAGGACAGTACCTACCTCGGGTGTCGCTCTGAGGGTAAAGTGACTCCGGGCGCAGAGGACGCAGGGTGCGGGCTCCCGGGAGGCGCAGCGGCCAGTGTGGCGGCTGGAACACGGGGGTGCTGAGGTCGGCCGCGTCCCAGCGCCTGTGAATGCCTCACCTCGGGGGGCCAAACAGACTTCGCAGATGTGAGCAGGGATCCCGAGGTAGGGAGATTATCATGGGCCGTCCAGGCTTGGCAGCAGGCTGGACCCCCGTAAGCGAGGTGGGAGCCCCAGCACGGCTGCGGGGGTCTGCAGGCTCCACGCCGAGTCTGGGGATAAAGCCGTGGCGGCATCTCAGGAGGCTTCCTGGCGGGTTTCCCCAGCCGTACCTGCGTGTCTGCCTGCGTTCTTATTCCAATCACAGCGATTCTCTGATCATGATGTAAAACTTGAATGTTTCCTCCTCAGACCCGTCAGCCCCCAGGCCTGGATTTGTGTCCAGCTCCTGACTCCTTGGGGTCTGGTCTGCGCCGCGGGCAGGCTCCTAAGTGGGCGGACCCCACGCTGCCGACCTCCTAACGGCCTCTCTCCCCGCAGGAAGCCGTGGTCAGCACGTGGCTCCACCTCAGCGACGGCTCGGTGGCGCCCCTCGACATCTACGACACCAGGGACTTCGCCCTGACGGCCACCTCCCTGGACGAGGCCGTCGTGTCCATCCCCCAGGCCCGCTCCCCCAGGTGGCCGGTTGTGATGGCCGAAGGGGAAGGCCAGGGGCCCCTGGTCCGTGTGGACATGACCATCGCGGAGGCGTGCCAGAAGTCCAAACGCAAGAGCGTCCTGGCCGTGGGCGTGGGCAGCGTCAGGGTCAAGTTCGGCCAGAACGACGCCGACTCGAGTCCCGGAGGGAACGGCGACGAGGGCGAGATCAAGAACCATGCCAGTGACCGCCGGCAGAAGGCTCAGGAGCCCGAGGGGCCCCCGCACGGCGGCTCGTCCGTGGAGCGCGAGGAAGGCGCCCTGCGCAGGGGCGGCACCACGGCCCGGCCGCCGCTGGACCGCAGGGTAGTGACGAGCGGCCGGCCGGACTTGGGCAGGCCGTCCGGGGAGGGCCCCCTGCAGAGCATCCCCTTGGACTTCACCAACTTCCCGGCCCGGGTGGACGTGCCCGGCGCGGGGAGCGGGCTGGGGGCCAGCGACCTGGTGCAGACGCCCCGGGGCCTGAGCGACCTGGAGATCGGCATGTACGCCCTGCTGGGCGTCTTCTGCCTGGCCATCCTCGTCTTCCTCATCAACTGCGCCACGTTCGCCCTCAAGTACCGGCACAAGCAGGTGCCGCTGGAAGGCCAGGCCTCCGTGACCCACTCGCACGACTGGGTGTGGCTGGGCAACGAGGCCGAGCTCCTGGAGCACGCGGCCGAGGGCTCCCTGCCGCGAGACGAGCACACGACGGCCCTGGACCGCGGGCCGGGCAGCAGCGAGGAGAGCGGCCGTCTGCTGCTGGACGGCGGCGCCCAGCAGCACGTGCAAGGCCAGGTGCACAGGCCGGACCCGGGGGGCGGGCGGGCCAGGGACCCGAAGCCCGAGCCCCTGCACTCGCCCACCTCCAGAAGGAAGAAGGTGAAGTTCACCACCTTCACCACCGTCTCGCCGGACAGCGGCTGCCCCACCGTGAACTCCATCCTGGGCGGTGGCGGGGGCGAGGACATCAAGTGGGTGTGCCAGGACGTGGCCGCGGGCGCCCCCCGGGAGCTCAGACACTACCTGGAGAAATTCAAGGAACAGGCATAGGCCCCTCGCTGGGCTCCACAGCGGGTCCGGCTGCAGGGCGTCCCCTTCCCACCAAGAGGCTGCGCGAGTCCTGGGGCCTCTGAGAGGGGCCACCTGTCTTTTGTAGCAGGGACTTTTCTAGCCGTCGATGATGGCAGTTTCGAGTTGGCTTCAGCGGAGCCAACTCTGGGTGGGCCGCTGACCGAGCCCCCGAACTGCAGCAGGGCCCACACTAGGCAGATGATTTTACCAGTCGAAACATAACCCAGACAAGCTACCAAAAATTATTTGTTAAAAAAATGCAAAAAGACAAATAAAAAGACAGAAGGAATCATCTCTTTATTTATATTTCTAATAAAGTAGCAAAATCGGCAACGAGCTCCCGCTGAGAGACCATTCCCGTCCGAGTTCAGTGTCCCCGCTTCCGAGGCCGCGCAGCGAGGAGGAGTCGGTCCCGAGCCCCGGGGGCCTCTGGGCCTGAGGAATCAGGGTTTTCAATCTTTCCTTGATAATCTTCTCTCCATTTTCCGCCCTCCTTCCAACAGGTTTTCTCTGTGTCCTAAGTTGCCATTTGATTTGTAGTTAATGTTTATTTCCAAGCACCAGATGGTACATTTTCCCTAAATCAAACACACTTTATACATCAGGTGAATTCTTAGAAACGGTCTGCATTTACACATCCTTTAAGTAGTAAGTTTGACGCTTTTCGGTATCCCCTCCAGCCTTGTTGACATCTGCCCGCCGGGGTTTAACACTCAAAGGGGGAGGGGAGGCGGTCCCTTGAGCTTGACCTTGCCCTCCACCACACCCACCCCCAGGCCAGAGCCGGTGGGCGGGACACTGCCCCAGGCTCTTCCGAGGAGCCCAGCGGGCCACCGAGTGCGCAGAGCCCGCAGAGCCCGCAGAGCCCGGCCCCCAGGGGCCCCCGTGTCAGGGGAGGTCCCGTCAGACGCACGTGGGAGACCCTCCCTGAGGAAACTCTGCTCCTCCTCGGGCCGTAGATCTGTCACGAGACCCCTGAGGCTGAGACATGAACCAAGCTCCAAACTCTGGGAGGGATTGGAGTTGTTGCTCTGACTCTGTTGGGCGGAGCCTACCAGCCTGGACCCAGATGATAAAAATCTATGTTAGATTGTCAGTCAACTGTGGTTTTTAACGGCCTAATTGTGCAGCGGCACGTTGCAAAAACACACTCATCCAAAGTCGATTGTGTGTGGCAGAGAGGAGCGCCGCGTCCTGAATCCGCCCCTCGGTGACCCCCCAGGCCCGGGGTCCCCGCTCCCAGTAGGCGCCGCTCACCCAGGAGGCTCGTTATTCTTATTTTTTTAAATTACTAAAATCAGTAGCTAAGAAAGGGTCCTTGGAGCCTCGTGACCTTTTCAAAAAAGGTATTTCCAGCACATATTATAGATGGAAAGGAGATATTTATTTATACCTGTGATGCCAATTGTCATTAAAATGCTTTCCATGCCTTGACAAGTCAGTACCTTGTGGGGTGTTTCTTTTTTCAGTTCACTCCGACTTCCTCTCCCCCTAAATGTACAACTCGCTGCAGAAGACACCTGTCTACACGGCCCGAGTGACAACGCAGCCACCAACAACCTCCTCCTTTCTTCCTCTGGGTCCCGCGGCTTCCTGGGACTTCTCGTCCACGGCCGTCCACCCCGGCGGCTCCCACGCCCGCCCGCACGCGTGTCAGGAGGGCTCCTAAAACCCAGGTTGCTGCGGGAGCTCCAGAAACCTCATTCCTGACAAGTTCCGGGGCGACGCGGAGGCCGCGGGTTTGAGATCCGCCCCAGAGAGAGAGGGGCCCTTGACACTGGATGGAAAGGGCTCGAGTCCCATCCAGGGGAAAGGGTTGCTTTTATGGGGACTGTTTTTGTGTTTGTTTGAAGTCTCAGCGGGACCGTGGGGGCTGTTGGTTAGTTGGGGGTAGAGAACGTTTTGGTAGAAGATAAGGTAGGATGTATTTTTTAGTACCAGCTTTATTAAGACACAATTCACTTGCCATAGAATTAACCCGTTTGAAGCATACAATACAGTGGCTTTTTAGTTTGTTCGAAGAGTTGGGCCTCCGGCGCCACACTGATTGTAGAAAATTTCCATCATCCCGAAAAGAAACTCCATGCCCGTTACCGTCACTTCCCATTCCTGGGAAGCCCCAGCTCCAGGAAACCTCTGGATTTGCCCAGATGTGCCGGCATCTTTATCCTGCTGGGAGGCCCCTGACCACTCCCCAAGCAGGGTCATCATTCCCGCAGCGTCACCAAGTGACAGCGGCTCTTCTCGTGCGGAGCTGCCGCGGTTAATGTGACTGTGAGGTTTGCCTAATCAAGGCACCAGGAGATCCCGGTGCCCGCACAGCACGGCTGGACGCTGTGCGGTCAGTGGGACAGCACGGTCTCCAACACCTTGGGTGTCCGTTCCCAAATCCAGCTACCGACCTGACTAGCTCACATGTGTCTTTATTTTTTTAAATGTTTTATTTATTTCTGAGACAGAGAGAGAGAGAGACAGCGTGAGCAGGGGAGGGGCAGAGAGAGAGGGAGACACAGAATCTGAAGCAGCTCCAGGCTCTGAGCTGTCAGCACAGAGCCCGACGCGGGGCTCGAACCCACGAACCGTGAGATCATGACCTGAGCTGACTGAGCCCCCCAGGGGCCTCTCACACGTTTCTTTAAAAGGTGAAGGCTCCAGATAACGGGAAGGAGGGCTCTGGTTGGCGCTCCCTGGGCGTAGGGAGGGATCAGACGCAGCCCCACCGCGTGCTCCTGCAGCAAGCCGGACGGCGGTCCTGGCCAAACACGCATGTGGTCCGTAAGGCGGGGGGACAGGGGGCTCAGGGGACACCCGCTCTGGTGGGGGCACAGCTCAGAGTCCAGTTGGGGTGACTGCTTGGTCCCGTTTCCCCTGGGACTGACTGGCTGTAAAATTGGAAGATCTTTGTTATTTTCCAAGTTAACATAGTGTACGTCTACAGCTTGCATTTCAGGGGCGCCTGGGGGCTCCGTCGGTTAAGCGTCCGACTTCGGCTCAGGTCGTGATCTCGTGGTTTGTGGGTTCAAGCCCCGCGGCGGGCTCTGTGCTCACAGCTCAGAGCCTGGAGCTGCTTCGGATTCTGCGTCTCCCTCTCTCTCTGCCCCTCCTCTGCTCCTGCCCCGTCTTTCTCTCTCTCTTAAAAATAAATTAACATCTAAAAAAATTTTAATATTTTTTAAAAAAGAAAACATACCATTACAGATCTGGCTTTAAAATTTTTTTTCAGTTTTGAACGTAGTGCGTGAGCAAAGTAAAGCATAAGAACAGCTGCTTCTGAGGCGGACGTCCACGCTTTTGTCCTCAGGAGTCTTCTTTCTTCCACAGTTGAGGCCAAAGTGCAAATACTGATTTTCGACGTCACGAACAGGGACGGGCCTGTGGCCCTTGATAGAAGACGTATGGTGATGACGGTCACGTGTGGGGCACAGGCGGCGTGGTGCACGTGGGGCCCCGCCGGGGGGACGGGAGCCCAAGACTGAAATCAAGCCCCAGCCTTGCTGGCCGAGATGCGTCCACCCGGAGGAGAGGCCAAGCCGCTCATCTGAACACAGCACCACCTGCTTGTCAAGCGAGGCATCACGGTGCATCCAGAGGCAGGCGGGGCACCAGGGACGACGGGAAGGGGTCAGGGGGAGCGCCAGCCTCACCTTCCGTGGCCGGGGGCCGGTTGCCTCCATCCAAGTGCTTCTAAGTCGTGTGAAGGCTAAAAAGCAGCTGTTTGAAGGCACCGGAGAGCCGTCCAGGCGTGGGCGTCGCAGGTCAAAGACCCCAGGGCGGTGGGGAGCCAGTGGAGTGAGCCCGTGTGCCACCCACCGCTCTTCTTCTTGGGGGCCAGGCAGTTGGCCTGCGGGACTCAGAGCCTGAACACCATGGCACAGCCCGAGCTGAGAGCAGGCTCGCCGGGCTGGACAGACGGAACCTACACCCAGGCCTGTGAAGGCGGCGCAGCTGTGGACCCAGATGCCTGAGAAGAGGGGCTGCAGGGAAGGGAGCCCTGTAAGCCGCGCGCAATTGCGCCGTGAGGCACTCGCCAGTCCCTGAACTGGGCGTGAATGGGACAGTGACTCGGAATCTAAGGGCAGCAAATGATACAGAGGCGTTAAAGGCTGAGCTGACAGTCGTCTCCCAGTGGGGCTTCTGGTTAAGAGCCGCTGGGAGAATGGATGCCCCCAGGCAGGTAGGAGGCAGGGGTCCCCTAAAAGCCAGGGGTGCTGGGTGCTGGAAGGAAGGGGTGCAGAGTCAGGCGGACAGGAGGCACCTGGGACACAGGTGGACGCCAGGACAGCCTCTGATGGGGACACATGGCTTGGCCGACACGGGGTGGCGTGCCAGCCGCTGGCTGACCCGGACAGACTCCCAGCCCCGCACAGGTGGGGAGAGCGGGAGCCCAGCTCACATCCGTGGAGTCACTCCCTCCCCCACCGCGCTGCTGAGAACGCGGCCAAGTGCACGGGACAGGGCAGCTCTCCCAATGGGCATGTGAGCCAAGTTCTTCACAGCGGCCCAAGTCAGTCAAACCTTTGAACAAATGCTGAGGTTTTGCGTTAGTTTCTGCATCTTGAAATTTCCAGCTGGGAAAACTGCATGGGGCGCCTGGGTGGCTTAGTCGGTTAAGCGTCCGACTTTCGCTTAGGTCATGATCTCGCGGTTCGTGGGTTCGAGCCCCGCGTCGGGCTCTGTGCTGACTGCCAGCTCAGAGCCTGGAGCCTGTTTCAGTCTGTGACTCCCTCTCTCTCTGACCCTCCCCTGCTCACGCTGTCTCTCTCTCTCTCTCCTAGAAATAAATACAACATTAAAAAAAAAAAAAACTGCATTGGGCGGGTTTCCTAAGTGTTTGTTCGGAAAGGCTTGTTAACTCCTTCTACGCAGCAAACGAATAAACAAAAGGAAAACCCAAGGGCTCTGACTTAGCAGCTCTTTGAGGTGTAGATGCTCATTGGAAAGTTTGGATGGAGTAAGGTTTATAAAAAATGCTGAGGAGGAGAGGAAAGTCAGGTCACCCTGTTACGGTTTCTCTTTCAGGGAGAACATTAGATAATGTTTCACAGAGTGAAGCAAATT